AAATGCAAATATCCCGCTCATAGAAAAAACTATGATCTACTCTAGTTAGTTTACCGTTACGTTACCAATACAGTTATTGCAGTAAGAAATAATGGCAACCTCTACAGCTACGCTTCAGCTTAGCTATTATACTTTACACTTTGAATAAAATTGGGTAGGGCAGGAACATTGCTCATTGCGAAACCTCTGGGGAATTTGATTCAAATAGATTCTTGTTTTTCCTATGGGCGTCTTATTCAAACTTGCTAGTGATCAGTCCTAAATAAAAACGTTAATACCTTGATTCAAAAAGAACCTCAGTAATTTTCAAAGCGCAAATCGTGTTGTGCCTGTAACTTTGAAGGGGAAATCTATATCACAGTGCTTGAGATAAGTCTAATTTCAAGACTCATTTTTTTCATTTTTTTTTTTTTTTTTTTTTTTCAAATTGCATATTTATGTTACCTATTTGGATTCTACTAAAACGAATGATGTACCAATTCATTTTTTGAGAGCTCCTGAAGTTTTTTCAATACTTTTATAAAGTTGCTTACTTACTTATCAAAATTAATTAACATAAATTTTCTCAATCCGTCGATACTGAAAACTTCACTTTTTATGAGTTTATTGATCTTGGAACCAGTGTAACCTCAAATCTATGGCAGGCAAAAAGTTAATTTTTTTTAAAAAGAAATTATCAGAATTTGATACTTTACAGCTGGTGGCATTAGTTTGTTTGTACTTGTATTAGGTGATTTTACAAGAATGATGCAAGTCTGAAAGAACCTGAGAGAATATTGAGGTATAAAAAAACCAGAAGATTAAAATAGAATTATTCCTCATCTTTTAAAAGTAGTGGTACAAGTTGTACAGCTTATTCGTTTTTCAGAGGTGTTCATATTTCATTAAATAAAATAGCTCTATAAATCTAAGAGGACCAAATTTTTAGTCGTTCCAAAAAACGTCATTCTTACAAGCCAATTTCCTGCTTTATTGGGCCGAAATTTTTCAAATGAGGTAAAAATTAACAGAACGCCTACTCTAAAGTACCCTGACAAAAATTAGAACAAAAATGGACATTGCATGTACAGGGGGGATTTAAACTAGCCTCTCTCTTCGCTTCGTTACTTGTCTAGTGGTTCATTCCTGGATCAGCTATGACGAATAGATGTTCAAAATCAGAAAGCGATGAACCCACAGCTTACACACGAAATATGACAGGACAAAATTTCTGGGGTAGAGGACGAAAGTAAAAGGAGAAAAACGTATTATCACAATGCAAAAGTGAAAGAGAGGAGTGAGCGGCTGTCGCGGTCCAGCGTGTGCGGACTAGCAGTAGAGGAAAGAATCTGGGGGTGAAGTCCAGTGCGTTTGCGGGCACAAGCGCAGCCGACCCAGATCAGTTCGATCGGAAGCCCCGTGAGCGTCTTTCGAGGAGGGCAATCGAGATCGGATTTTAATTCCCTCCTGTCTTATGAGGGGATAGCAGTGCTACCAAGAATTTTATCCCATCCCGTCAACTAACAAGTTGGCCCGCGCTAATGCATCTCGTTCCTCGAACGAAAACAATAATCGCCCAATTCGACTTCGAGTTCGGGATTCGGGAGGCGAAATTCTTTTACTTGCTCAGGCCTTTTGATCGAATGTTTCGATCGTAAAGCGACGCTTGGTCGTTCGCGAACTCGGAGGGCGATCAAATTGATTTTAGTTCCCTCTAGACCCCTGCCTTGAAGTAGAATGTCTACTGAGTCACTTAAACCAAACAAACAAAATTCTTTCGAGCTCATAGAAAATACAGTTGATTTACAGGCATTATAGGGCTAAAAAAGCCGAATTACCGAAAATAAGTATCGTTGTATCGTTCGAAATAGATTTCCTCAATAATTTTAATGTCTAAGAATCTTTAACATGGTTATTTTTCAGCAAAGGGATGCATATACTTCTAGCCTCCCAAATTTTCACGCAAAAAATTTTACCCCTACCACAAAATAATAGAGGACGTGCTTCCACAATTTCTATGACCCCTTCCACAGGAGGTGATGATCTATTGTTTTTTTCTGTCAGTCATTTGTGAAAAACTTAACGCAATTTTTCCGCATTTTTGACCTCCCCCCCCCCCGTTGTAACACTTTTATGACGTAGGTCTCAATCCTTTAACATGTAGAGACAAATTTGCGTTACTACTCCCATAGCTGTAGACAAGAATTTAATTAGCAAGAATAAAAGACTTTTTCGGAAATGGGCCTGTTGCAAGTGCAGTGATTTGCAAATAGATGCCTGATTCCCATGGTAAATTTCACGAAAAGAACGATGGCGCTACTAAAAAAACTTGAAATGACCTCTCAAACTCAAAAAAGCTGTTTTTGGAACCGACTCATTCGAAACGGTCACTTTTACGCGGTAACGGATCCGCCATACTTGTGACGTCAAATGGTGCGACAGACCTGGTTTTTTCATCACTTACAATGTATTTTCCCTTAAGGAATTGGCAGCCGCTTTTCAAATGCAAATATCGAGACCACGGACTTTTCAAGGCGTCACGAACCCTGCAAAAGAAACTTACCTTCAAATAGTGACAAAAAAGTGAAAACTCATGAAAATGGCTAAATATTGAGCTAATGTCCATGTCTGTTATCACTAAGCAGATGTAAACAATCGCCCATTGACTACAGTCTTCCCTAAAAATAGGGTTTCCCCGCCGGTTCTTATTTATCTAATGAGGGTTTTAACCATTTAAACCTACGAGGAATCTATTTCTGAATTCCGTTTTGTTAAAAAAATCATAGATTGACTCGATATTTGCATTTGAAAAGCGGCTGCCAATTCCTTAAGGGAAATTACATTGTAAGTGATGAAAAGACCAGGTCGGTCGCACCATTTGACGTCACACGTATGGTGGATTCGTTACCGCGTAAAGGTGACTGTTTTGAAAATCCAAATTTTGAGGCGTTTTTAAGTTGATTTTTTGGGGGTTTCCGGTGATCAAAAAACTACGGGAAAATTCCTGTGACATCAGGAGCCTTAGTTCCTTCGATTACAGCAATAAAAAAAAAAAATGGTGCAACATGCACAACCAAAAAGTTGTGAAAAACCCGACATCCTGTGAGGAAAAAATTTTACACAGCCCTCCACAATTTTTGGGCCAAAAATTATTCCAGAAAGCCTTCCACAATTGTCAGTAAGAAATTCGGGAGACCCTTTTTCAATGTTTCCTGAAAAACTCTTAGGCAGCCTTCATAGCACACCCTGGAGGACCTGCTTCTCCTGTTTTCCACACTGTGTGGAAAATTGTGGAAACCATTCTGAAATATTCTTATGCAAATTAAGGAAACCTTTCTTAGACTTTCAGTACAAATTGCAGAAACCCTTCTACAATATTTTGGTACAAAAATGTGAAAATCCTGCCACAGTAATTCGTAAAAAATTGTGGAAACTGATCCCCTATATTTTGGTGAATATTATGGAAACCCTTCAACAATGTTTCGGTAATAGAAAATATGAGATTCGAAGGGAGGAGAGATAGAGAGAGAAAAAAAAGCTTCCACAAAGTCTGGGAGGCTTCCACATTTTCACGCTAAAATTATTCGCATGATCTAAAATAATGTACACCCCTGTTAAAACCACTCGAACACTGATACCATCTATTTTAGCCACACGGTAATTTATGGGGATGTAAAATTACCCCTCAGAGATCAAAATTGAACCAATTTTCCAAAAATGGTCCAACTTTTTGGGCAGCCAATTTGGCAATAGAACCGAAGTCAAAATGGAAGCTCATAATGACCAAAAGCTCAGGAAAAATTTTCAAGATGGGCTTAGGGATGATTGCCGTAAAACGGGAGAAAGGGGCTAAAGATGTCGAAATCCCATCAAATTTGTCCCCTTTTCTTGTTAAATTAATGTTGCCACTGGCTCACACATGTTCAGCATATCATCGATTCTCAACTTTTTTAACACCCACAATTAAATTTTTATGTCAGGGAGTCAATTCTATAGATCGAATTTGTATATCAATTTTTTCGATTTCATAAGTAAAATTGATGGTAGTTTGGGATTAAATTTAAATTATTATCGATTCACGAAAGAATATATGCACCCTAAATGACTAGAGCATGTTGACTCTTCCTCATTTACACTCAAGGCGTTAATGTTGAAGGTCAACAAGTGAATAAATCGACGTGAAGCATCGACCTTATGCAAGTTATTACCGTGAACAATCGCATTTTTGGTATGAAAATTTCACACTTCCAATTCGCGAATGAATGAAGTACTAGCCATGTCTAAAGTGTTGAGCTTCATAGAAAGCTGAAAATAATAAAATCAAGACATATTTGATGCAAGAGCATTTATTTATTCATGAAGTGGAAGTATGAAATTTGGCTCTTTTAGTCCCAAAATACCTGTAAATCGACTTAATTTTCCATGAGCTCTGGAGTTTTTTTTTTTTTTTTCTTTCTTTCTTTTTTTTCTTAAGTGACTCAGTAGACCCTACATCAAGACTCTGAAGAGTTTTTGCGAATAACTCGTCCAACAATTTAGACCTGTTTTGCCGCACCATGTCAAGCCTGTTCATTTTTTAAGTTAATAAATGAAAGTAATTTCGTCTTCAGCAATTGAAAGAGAGGAACTTTGGCTCTTGAACACAGTGTCATTGCATAATGTAGCAAGATTTAAAGTTATTGTTAATAATAGATGTGATACCTAAGTGTATCTTATTCTAAAAAAGAGGACAGATTCTTAGTTGAATCAAAACGCCATAGGATCAATATTCACTATCAGGTACAGAAGACTTAAAATTCGGTGAGTGGAATAAAGAATTTCCATCCTTCGCTGCAAATTTTTCACCTTCGGAATTCACCTCTCTTCCAAAGAAAATCTGCCTCCCCCAAGAGAATTCACTTTCCCTCCCTGTAGATAGGTTTCTGTACAAACAGCGTTCCACAATTAGCATCTCTAGTGGATGATAAAACACATTTTAAAGAATCTGTAATCAAAAGTAAGAGGTATTTCAGGCGCCATACCATGAATACGTTGTTCCAAGATCAATTCCAACGACAGTGCCAAAATCCTCTTTGTCCTTTTTCTCTTCCTTTGCAAAAGCCACACAGGCTAAGAGGCAGAAAGCCCCTGACAGGAAAAGTAACCTCATTTTCCAATCCCTAAAAATTAAACAAAGAAGCACAAAAAATTAGATTTTTTCAGAGGAATTCAAGGGGCAGCAGTAAAAGAGGGGCCCTGTAAATAGGTATTTCTGAAAGCAAGATTAACCAAATCCATAGGTGCGTAATTAAAAAATCTAATCAGAGTAGAAAACTTGCGTAACAGCAAGACAAAACATGACCTCTTTGAGAAAGATTCAAAATTGGATGTCTGATTCTCTCCCTTAGTTTTGCACAACACCAAAGAAGTACCTACGTGGAAGTTTGCTCCAATTCCATTCGGAAGGATGGCTATACACATCTTATTATTTCCTAAAAGACTGAGACATACCACTGATATCTGTCGGGAAAAGAAGCTTTGGGAGAGAAATAGAAATTCGTGGGTCTCTGAGAAAAAGCAGAAGAGTGACGTCCACAGATCAGCAGAGTCCGATCCCCAGATTAGCACTACGCCTAGAGACCTAGACAGATGACCAGTTCTTCCTGACGAGAACCATTGATATGTCAAGCAATGCATATGATGCAATTGAATATTTGGATATTGACGAAGAAACTCCCAAACCACGTGTCTCGTTTGGGGTGTTTAACAATCTCCGCTTCAGATTTATTTTTTAAAGGAGAACAAATCAGTATCACACCATGAAGTTTTCTACAAATTTGTTTCAAAGAGACAGGATGAATCATGGAAGTTTTCAAGATTGGATGTTGAGTAGTTTTCCGTCTAAAATATGAACTATGACGGGAAGTGTGAAACGTCACACAACGAGATACGTGGTTTGGTAGTTTCACCATCTATATGTTAGTTTTAGATACACATGTTAAAATTCATGATTTTAAAAAGAGTCTGAAAATTGTATGAGGGTAGGGAGTATTTACACTATGGCAGATTGCCTGCTTAATTACTTAGAATATTTATACTGGGTGTTCCAGAGCACACGCCCACTATCTTTTTCTCGGAAATAGCCGAAAATTGAGATTCGGGACGAAAACTTGTCGAGGTAAATTAACCCCAATGAATTCAATGAAAATATTTTCAGCCCCCCAAAACCCCATGGGGGTTAAGGGGGTAGCCCCCCGTTTCTCGCGTATTTAAAATTGGGGAGGAATGTTTTGACTTAGGTCTTAAATTTAACGGCCAAAAGTAAGAATTTTTACTTTCTCACTCCCCTAGGGCAGGGGAAGGAATCCTGCAAGGGGGGGGGGGGCAAAAGTTGAAATTTTATCGTTTCTAGACGTTTTAAGGTCCCGGAGTCAAAATAACCTAACTTGAAAAAATGTGTGTCTGTCCATCAGGCGTCCCCCAAGACACTGTAGGCGTAAAAATTGTCTGATTTTCAAAATCTAAAAGTCTCCTGGTACAAGAAATTAATACCTTTTTATTAATATGCCACATGACCCCTGATGGTCCAAAATTATGGAGGCCATGACTCCCCGAACATTTTAGGGCCTTGGTGGGCCGTAATTCAAAAATTTCAAATCGCAAGAGTATGTTTACTTTAGACTTCAGATTTGGAGTCAACGCGAAAATTTACGTAGAATTGATAAGCCGCACGGCCTATTTGCCCCAAATTTTTTTGCCCCTTTTTTCCTCCAAAAGTACACGGCTTCTTACGGGAAAATGGGGTTATAAAGTAATTTGGAGCAAATAAGACGTACGCCATATCAATTCTACGAAGACTGTCCCAAAACAATTGACAGTAAGGCTGCCATTCGGGAACTTCAACAGATATCTACATGCGGTTTGTGGGAGGTGGTAGCTCATACTCTTAGCTCTTGATCGAGCCTAAGTTAAGCTAGTTTGGTTAAAAACTCAACGAGTTACATCAATTTTCCCGAGACGTGTAAAAAATACCCCTACCGGATTCTTCGGTAATTTTTCATTCCGTTAACTTTGCCTCCGCAAGCTGTGCAATAGAGATGTTGCATATGTGAGGGATTTGCGATTTGACTATTGTTTCTTATGTAAAAGTTCGCGAGACACATGATAATGCCACTGGTTTTCTCTGAAGTCAACAGCAAAGCTCAAAAAAAGCTCTCAGAGTGAGGCCAAAATGGAGGGGATATCCCGCCCTACCTTGAGAGTCCACCTCTACATCAAAACAAACTCTCCATGCAAAGATAGGGAGCAAAGACATTAGCAGGGTTGCCGTGTTTTCAGTTTTGGAGTCCCCAAATGAAGTGGCAGCCCTGTCAATGTATTTGCTCCCTACCTTTGCATGGAGAGTTTGTTTTGATGTAGAGGTGGACTCTCAGGGTAGGGTGGGATATCCCCTCCATTTTGGCCTCACTTTGAGAGCTTTTTTTGAGCTTGGGAGTTGACTTCAGAGAAAACGAGTGGCACCATCGTGTTTCTTGCGAACTTTTACATAAGAAACAACAGTCAAATCGCAAATCCCTCAAACATGCAACATCTCCATTGGTTCAGACGTTATGAATCAAGTTTCCTCTTGTCTGGATGCAAGTTTGAACTTGTCAGCAAGTGTTTCCATCACAGTCGAGAAGTTTCTTTCTGTTTGCTAGATCAGTTCAGTGAAATCGTCCGGCTTGATAACGTGTGTTTTTGTGTTTCGTCATGAGTTCACCCGCCAAGTTGAAGCAAGAGCAACGATACCTACGCAATTCGATATTGCGTTCGTCGAGAATTATCTGCTTCTGAAAAACTTCTGAGCCACTGTCATTTCAGTCACAGTTTCAGTAGCAGATAATTCACGACGAACGCAATATTGAATTGCGTATCGCTGCTCTTGCTTCAACTCCGCGGGTGAACTCATGACGAAACACAAAAACACACGTTATCAAGCCGGACGATTTCACTGAATTGACTTTGCAAACAGAAAGAAACTTCTCGACTGTGATGGAAACACTTGCTGACAAGTTCAAACTTGCATCCAGACAAGTGGAAACTTGATTCAGAACGTCTGAACCAATTGCACAGCTTGCAGAGGCAAAGTAAACGGAATGAAAAATTAACGAAGAATCTGGTAGGGGTATTTTTTACACGTCTCGGAAAAATTGATGTAACTCATTGAGTTTTTAACCAAACTAGCTCAACTTAGGCTGGTTTAAGAGCTAAGAGTATGAGCTACCACCTCCCGCGAACCGCATATCGATATCTATTGAAGTTCTTGAATGGTAGCCTTACTGTCAGTTGTTTTAGGACAGCCTGTGTACGTAAATTTTCGATTAGACTCCAACTCTGAAGTCAAAACATATCCTTGCGATTTGAAATGTTTAACTTACGGCCCTCCAAAGCCCAAATATGTTCAGGGGGTCGCGGCCCCCTTGATTTTGGATCAAGAGGGGTCATACGGCACACCTATAAAAAGGTATTGACTTGTTCTATTGGGAGACTTTTAGATTATGAGAATCGGATAATTTTTACTCCTAGCCTACAGTGTCTAATTGAAATTCGCCCCAAAATGCCGCGCAACTCCAAAAATAGGGGTTTAGGGAAAAAAGGCAGTAAAACAAAAAGTTCTTACTTACGACCATAAAATTTAAATCCAAAGTCAAAACATACCCTCACTATTTGAAATATTCGAGAAACAGGAGGCACCCCTTAACCCCCCCCCCATGGGGTTTTGGGGGGGCTTAAAATATTTTCATTGAATTCATTGGGGTAGATGTACACCAACAAGTTTTCGTCCCGAAGCTCAATTTTAGGCAGTTCCAAGAAAAAGATAAAGGATGGGTGCTCTGGAACAGGAACATCCGGTTAGGGGTGTTCAAGCGAATTCTTGCCGGAACACTATCGATACTGGCGATCCTCTTATTGAAACTGGCGGCAGTACCGACAGTGGTGATGATATCGTGAACAGCCGGCCTTCTCGGATTTTTGAGAGCTCGCACTCAATGTATTGTTGCTCCGTGCGTCGGTTTATCAGATTGCCTAGCGCGGCGGCGCGTAAAATAGATGTACAAATGGCAACAGCTTATTTTTGTCAGCTTTGAAAACTCTGATCACTATCGGCAAGAGCGCTCTTCTCGTAACTTTTTCTTAACGGAACTGTTTCGGTAGCCTACCGACAACCGATAGAACAGCCCTACAGCACAGCGACGTCGATTATGAAGGCAATTTTGGTATCCCTCATCGTGAGCACTATGTCTGGTATGTTATTAGGAATGGTTATATGGGTGCGAATCTTCCTGTTCCAGTAGAGGCGGCATATATAATTTTCTTTCACCTAAGGAGGCTCGAACTCATAGTAAGGTTTCATATCCGTTTCGTTGAGGTGCTCTTCAGCCAGTTCTTGATAAATTAGCAAAAGTTATAATTGCGCCAACTTTCTACGATGCACCACCGTTTTCGCAAAAACAAAAATTATTCGGTGATAAAAAGCCAGAGAGATTCCTCATTTCAGTGCTCGATTGACAAGCGGCTGTGTGTCAACAAGGAAATCATGGGGACTCCCGCACCGAGCGGCAGTCTTATCTGAATCATTAAATACAAAAAGGGCACATGTCCAGAAAACCAAATTGTTCAGGAAACACAAAAAACTGTTCATTTCGTGGTAGATATTTTTTGGAAAGTCGTGCATACATACATTTAAGTCGCTTTACAGCACTCCCTCGTGCTCTACGACTCCTAACCTCCACTGCTCTCTTTCAAACCACAAATCATGGGGGATTGAGCACCTTAACATTTCCGCTCCAATCCCTTCCCTCCAACCTTTGGAAAGTCGTTATGTTTAAAAAAACCGGCGCTCCGCTTCGCCCCGCGCGGGTTTTTTTTAAACATTACGACTTTTCAAAAAATATCTACCACGAAATAAACAGTTTTTTGTGTCTAATGAACAATTTGGTTTTCTGGACAAGTGCCCTTTTTGTATTCAGTGATTCATCTCGGATTCCGCACGCCGCACTATAGTCCCAATTCACTTTCCAGTGATCAAAAATCATAGCGGCTCTTCGTTTGAGTATAAATACAAACAAGCTAAGTATGATTTTGATGCGCTGAATCCGAATTTGACCTTCAATTTTCTTTAAAAAATCATTTGCAA